ATGCTTGAAAATCCTTATTATTATCCTTAGCACTGCATATTTAGTAGTAAACATGTGTGGCGGTCGCATATGATGCAAGAAACGAAAAAGTGGTACCTAAAACATCAAATAGGTACCGAAGAAAAAAACATGTAACCGGAATATCTTAAGAGTCAGACCACTTCAGAACGTTTGTTTTTCAAAAGGAACGAGCGATAAAGCTCAAGTTGTCTACTATCGGCACCCTTTGATGTTTTTTTTATCACTGCCGCTACAGCGATAAGATAACTTTGTAGGCGATGTACTTACTATGTATAGATACTGTTTTGACCTGTAAGGTTTAACTTATGTAAACACTTGCAGCAATGAATTTGCAACTTGCAAATGTGAACTAGTTCATAAAAATATATCATAGACCTGATTGGGAATAATGCGTTTTGTTCATCACCAGTTGCATAATTTCATATATTCTATACGATCTAGAGACTACATATATTTTTGAAAAAAAAAATTTTGACTGAATAGTAATATATTAACGAATGTCTGAAGGAGTTTATAATTTTTTTGCAGGCGATCATTAATTTTTGGATACATCATCAGAACCAACAAATATCGAACTACCATTCGTAAGTAAAATCTACTGAAAACATCCGATATCTCCCAAACCTGTGACTCAGGTACGGGAAACGGAAATTGACACTTGATCGAAGCATAATTGTATTTTAGACTAGGAAGTGGAATACAGAAAAAGTATATTAAATATATTACAAATATATTCAAAAATATAGGATCAGAAGAGTGGGAGACGAAATAACTTTATAAATTATTTACCAGCGTTCCTCTCCTCACAAAAGGAAAAAATGCAACTGCTTAGAGGGGTTGGAATCTTTTTTACATTTCTGTCTATAACTTCGATTGTACATAAGAGAATTTGAAAAATTACTTATATACAACAATACCTACTATTATATCAGACAGGGCGGCTGAAAGTGATACAGGTTTGCTCCGACAACCACATAGGGGGGTGAAAAAATAGAAATATTCTACTATGAAACTAGAACAGCAATGGAAAACAAGAGAACAAGTTGTTTTGTTGTTTGTTTTTGTAGTTTCCTTTGAACTTATCAGCTAGTAATGGGAGACTTTAAGACACAGGAAGACCATGAGCATGCAATAGGAAATTTTGGTTATGGGAAGCGCAACGACAGGGGAAAAATTCTATTAAATTTCATGAACGAATACAATATGTATTCAATGAACTCTTTCTTTGACAAAGAATCAACAAGAAAATGTACGGGATTAACCCTGACAAAAAGACGAAGAACGAAATTAATTACATATTGACGAGGAATGAACACAATCCAAGACATAACCGTTCTAAGTCAATTTGATCTGGGTAGTGATCACAGACTTATAAGAACAAAACTATGAATGAACAAGAAACTGAACAGAAAAAGAAAACATCAAATAAAAATAGTAAAATTTACAGCTGATAAACTAAAGTACAGCAGATATAAATATATAGTGCAAAAATTACTAAACACAAGTCTTCCAGACCAGATAAACCATTCAGATATAAACGAATTAAATACCCATATTAATAAAATATTAAGCAGCAGCAAAGAAATTATAAGACAAACAACAAAAACGCCAGAACTCGAACAGAACTAGATAAGGAAACAAAGCTACTGGTAGAAAAAAGAAGGAACCCTAATAGAAAAAACAAAAAAGACTCACCACCGAACTAAATAATATTATTAGAAAAAGATCAGAGAACACAGAAACAACAAATGTCTAAGCCGAAAATAGGGACACACCAAATTCTGTCACTAAAGGATAAAAGTGGAATTGAAATTTCTGATCGAGAAAAGATTCTAGAAAGGATAGCAGAAGTATATGCAGAATTATATAACACAAAAGAACAAGAGCATAAAAGTAGCCCCGAGACTAATAAGAAATGTGAGTTCAGAAGTGAAGTATCATTAGAAGAACACGAAAAGAAACAAAGCACCAGGAGTTGACGGAATCACTGCGGATATGATCCTTGAGGGTGGAAAAAGGTTAATTGGGATCGTAACAAAACTATCAAACAGTTGCCTTCACTAGCGAAAAATACCCAATGCATGGAATAACTCTAAAGTAATATTATTACCGAAGAAGGGCGATGCACAAAAATTAGAAAACTGCAGACCAATAAACCTGCTATCACATTTATGTAAGAAACGTACGAAGATCAATACTAATAGGCTAACAGAGAAACTAGCTGAATACCAACCATACCAACAAGCTGGCTTCAGAAAGGACTATTCAACATCAGACGACTTAGTAACCTTCAGAATACTGATACAAAAATACAACGAGTACAAATTTCCACTCTATTTGCCATTCGTAGATTATAAAAAAGTATTCGACACACTGGAATATAGCGCGGTACTGACAGCCCTGCGAAATTGCAGGAGTAACAGTAGATACATTAGCCTAATAAAATGTACCAGAATCAGTCTGTAGCTAGTCTCAACCAGAACGAACACACAAAATCAGTAAATATAGAAAGAGATGTTAAACAAGGCGACACACGAACTGGTCCAACAAAGGCGTAAATATCAATGGCAAACTCAATAACCTACGATTCGCCGGCGATATAATTTTAATAACTATTAACGTAAGGGAATTGCAAGAAATGCTAACAGAGTACCACAGCGGAGTCCTGCAAGGTTGGTGCGAAGATGAACCTTGGAAAAAAACAAAGTAATGTACACGGAAGCAAATGTCACAAAGATAGACAACAAAGAAATAGAAAGAGTCACCGAATATATATACGTGGGCCAAAAAATCGTTCTTAATAGAGATATCCAAACGGAAGAAATGAGAACAAGACGAACACTAGCTTGGACAGCCTGAGGAAAGCCAAGCTATATACTGAAGAACCAACAAATTCAACTACGTCTTAGAATTCAAGTTTTTGACGCAAATGGCAAAAATCAGTCCTGGTTTGGAGACCATACGAATTTCGAAGATCACCAATGAGATGGACAAACAGCCTATATCAGAAGAAAATGAAAGAAGGAACTTGAAGATGCCTATAATCAAAAGTGGATTTAGAAAACTCTGAAAAAAAGAAGAAGAAGAAACTTACATAGGTTCCGCTTGTTAAAGGATAGTTACCCACAAAAAAAGCAATTTGAAAATTGGTTTTTGTTTTATTCACCAGAGAGCGTTGCTTAGCCAGTTTTGAATTTTTCTACGAAAATTTAAATGTAACTATAAAATATTTTAATTTTCGCAGTGTTGCCGCTTCTATGGAAATAATAAGTTTAATTTGTTTAAATAAGGATGCCCTATATATTGTTCCGCTGCTACTTTGTGCCTTTTTTTGTATAATGTTTCTAGTCGACGGAAATAGGCGCCCATTTAAATCTTTGCTGGAGTTTTGGACTATTTAGAAGCCTGTAATTGTGACTGCAGTTTGCCAACACTAGTTAATATAGTGTAATAGTATAATCTCCAATATTCTGATACATAATTAGAATCATATACATCAAATATTGATATGTAACATTTACCTAAATGAAAGAAAGCAATTTTCTTTAAAAATCTAATTATTTTGACATATTAAATACTAAATTTTAATAACATTATTTAGTATTTATGAACTTTGTGTCGAAATTACAAATTTAGGTATAGGTATATTATATATCAATTGACAGAGATTTTAATTATGTATCAGAATATTTTATAATATACAGGATGTTCCATTTCATGATTTATCTATGGGAAACTAGTTTACCGGATGTTGTAGTAGCCATAATTTCAGCTTTCTAAAACTGATAGAGATAGTTATTCATTTTTACGAAAATGGTTAGAAAATGGGATATACAGGATGTCCTATTTAAATATTCGAAAATTGGCAGTAAAAGTGTTAAAACTCCATTTCGATATTTATTACGAAAATTTGCCAGTGAAAGTGTTAAAACTGCATTTTATTACGACTAAATTGTTAGTTCTCGATACCAATCAGCCGGTGAAGGTTCTGTAAAGGTTAAGTGAAATTTGTGTGTGTCGCCTCAACACTTACACTCAATCTATTAAAATTTATACAATCAAAAATTCTGCAAAAAGGCAGAAATACCAGATAAATAATGAGCCACGCGTACCGATATATAGAAGGTGTTTCAAAAAACATTTGCCAATGCTCACCTGGAGATTCACAAAAAAAAGAGAAAACAGTCGAAAAGTTTAGTTTGCGATATACGATATATATTTTCTTTATTGATAATTTCTGTTTTGCCTGATGTCATAATTTTATTTTTGAACAACTCAAGGACCAGACAATTGTTGCATTTTTAGTGGCTTATTCAAATTAAAAAAAAAAAATATGAAGGCATAAGTGCAATTTTTGTATATCAGTTTCAAATATCCAACAGTTCACATATTTAACACGTATATCCTAAGGAAAAACCATTTTTGATTATTTTTAGGAAGAGAGTATAATATTAATATGACAATAATGATTGCTGTCTTCTTTTTTAAAAACTTTTGTTCCAAGAACAAAATCACATAACTCTCCAGAAAAAACAATATGTTCCAATGTGTATTAATAATGATCTAAGTACGTATATTACAGCATTCTATATATTATAGTAATTCTATAAGATATACCCCTATAGCAACATCTGCCTCACCGTGTCTAAATATACCCTTCAGTTTGAACCTAGTCATCCACACTTACGCTTAAAAAAAACAGCAGTACAAAATTTGCATCTCAAACACCATGAGTGAGGTAGTGGCATATTCATTCCGTAGGTTTGAAATCTTTCCATAAAAAAGCAGGACCAGCCCCCGAAATCCGATATTGATTAAAGCCGACCATTTTGTCCGTACCTCCAGCCCAGCGCACCAATCCAAAACATCAAAGCGCAATCTCCATAGGTGTGGCCTTAAATTAATTTGTTAAGGAGGGGATGAATCCCGCCCGAACATCTGACGATCTCGCCCGACCAGTCCGACAGGGAAAAGGCAAAGGAGCAAGCTCAGTCTGTGCGAACAAGTGCTGGTTGACGGCCGTTGTTTACGATGAAGCTAAAGTCTATTGCCATGGTGCTAAAAAATTTTTTAGACGGTGCCTAGCACGAACTTTGCAGTGAGCTGTCGTCAACAGAGATTGGAATTACTCGGTACTAATTGGAATATTAAACCCAAACACCGACGGATGATTACTGATGATATTCGCAGATTAATTTAGTTGCTGCCGCAAATTTTTTGTGTAGCTGCTCTAGAGGGATACTAAACCTAAACTGGACCGAGCTAAACCAGACATACTTCGAGTGGTTCGCGAGTTTAAGTTTATGGTGTATTAGGTATTAAGTGAACTGTCAATCGACATTTTCAATGGTGATGTCAGAGCAGACAGGCGGAATCGCCATGCATCACCAGCTACCGATGCACCATAGTCGGGGCTTGGTGCAGCCAAGCCTGGTGATGAATCCTCATCCCATTGGTCCTGGAGATTCGTGTTCCATGGACTCCCAAAATGGTAAGTTCCGGTTAGTTAAAAAAACACATGCCGTAGTTATAACGGATGTTTCTTCCGCATAAAAAAATTGATATTAGTAATTAAAAATCACAAATTGACAATGATGACGGTGAAATCGTAAGGTTACGCTTTTTCTGTATATTATTTAATTTTTTATTGACGAATACAAAAATTGAGCTATTGATAGTGGGTACCTGGGTACTTCTTTGAGACTTGACATAGTTACTTACGTCCGAAAGGTCTATAAGTACAGCAAAAAACTTATGTTTAGTTTGATAATGGCTTAAAATGTGTGTTTCTTAAACTTGAATTTTCCGTTAAGCCATATTCCACTTTTGCATGGTATTTTCATTAACCATTCGGCATATATACATGAGAGTGATGACGTTATGTGAAATCCCAATGTTAGATTATCCCAACAAGTAACATGAAATGCAAATGCCTTAGATATTCAGCTGTCAACATTCAATCATTATATATATTCTATAATTATAATCGACTCCTCAAAGACACTCAGGTACGTCTTCTGCTTGACAAGCTTCTGGTTTTGTTAGTTTATTTTTTCATCATATATAAGTATACCTGAATTGTAAAATAATAAAAACATGCAGTTAGTTTACATGAGATGCCACCGGAAGAGATTTAAAAAAAAAACCAATCCCAAATCTCTGAGCTTTTACTTATTTAAGGAAATCGGCAAACAAAAAGTATAAACGGCAAGCAGGTAGTTCCAAAAAGGGTAAAACAACAAGCAAATAACTAAATAACACAGAGAACCAAGTTACGCCCGCTAATGATCAGGTAAACTTCAGTGACGGCGGTCTGAGGGTGTCCACAATCAACCATCGACTCGGTAGCGACGGTCCTATTAGCACCCTGGTGCTAAATGTGCAGCTCCGGGTAGGTTCCGACCACAATGGACGGTTTTTTCCTTTATTCCTCCGAAGGAGGCTTTCTGCGTCAGCATGTTTTGAAACAGAAAATTATTTATTTTTTGGAACTTGATTATCTAAATCGCTATATGCTATTTCTCTCTCAAAATATGTTCGCATCGTATACCTATACATATATGGTTAATTGGGTATCTGTAGGTAACAACATAACAACATAAATTCAATTATTACCCTGTAATACCTAGACCCCTATGACTGAACTTTAATCTTATCCTAGATTTATCTTTATCATTTATTGATAACCAGGCTGAGTCGGAATTTGTTGTCATCTTCGAAATTTTCTCAAAACTTATCACCCATATATATATATATATATATATATATATATATATATATATATATATATATATATATATATATATATATATATATATATATATATATATATATATATATATATATATATATATATAAATATGTGAGCAATTGAGAAAGCCCAGAATTATATATACTCATCATACTACACCAGCAACCACTTATTAATATTACATAACAATTTTCAATGCCGGGCTAACATCTAAATATATAGATAATATTTTATAAAGGTATGCTTCTGGGTCTCTACTAAGTACGCACTAAGGAATGGAACGTCCCCAAAGCGGAAATATAATTACATAAAATTTAATAAAATCAATACAAAAACATGAATTTTTAAAGTAGATACTGAAACGGAAAATACTTTATAAGACAATACGAGTGACCCACTAATTAGAAAAGTCTAGATAAAAGGATCAAAGATGATAAGTGTCTCGAAAACTTATATACGGAGTAATTAATTAAAATGAAATAAATAAATCTAGAAACTGATAATACTGCTCTGACTCACTGACATCACTGCACTCATACTGTCCTACATATTTTTCCTAGTTTATAATGCGGTTGTTGGTCGGTTTTTAAAAATACTGCTCAATTTGTATTAACTGGAATTATTATACTACGGTAATACCTAATTCCAAAACCTTTAAAAAAAGCGGAATTCGTGTTTATTTGCAAGAATAAGAAATTACAGTAAAATTAAATATATAGGCGATAAAGTTCAAATTGCGCAGCAGAAATCCTTAGGAAAAGGCTTTAATAACTATATATATATAATAATAAAAAATAGGTAATCTGGTAAAGTCGATCTAGCGAGGCATACATTTATTTTGTCGACTGCTATGTCAGATAATAAGTATATATAACATGTGCACATGAGATTACCGTTTTTATGTATTGGTCGGATGTGTTGCCAAATTGAAAATAGACGTTGGCACAGATTTCAATATTCCATGCATCTAAAGTTTAGCTATCGGCCCTTTGTCCTGTTGTTGGGCAAAACCGCAGCTAAAACATTATTCTCTCATTTATTCAAATACCCGAGCAAATATTATTGGATTTCAGGTGATACAGCCACGTTGCAGGTTTGGTAGTTTCGATGGTATTCTTTACTTCTTTGTTCTATGCAAAAGTGTTCCGTCGGATTCCTAATAACCACGTTAAGTTATGAGAGGAAGCATATAAATGACAAAATTTAATTGCTCTAAACAAATGTTAAATTTAATTGCAATGCGCCATTGATGCGGATGAGACTTAGATCCCACACAATTCTGACGAGTTTATCTAAGTAGACGGCATTCCAATTAATTAATTAACGGTTAAAGGACTTTTTATTTCTATTCTATTTTTTACACATTGTCATAACAAATTTTTCTCCCATAGATTTTTATTATACATAATGGTATTAAATTTGAAATTTCTCAGGTTGGTATGTTATATGCTAACATCATCAAATTATTTTTCAAAATACGGACCCAAAAAAAAAAACAAAAATTGATAAAATTGAAGTTGATGATGGTTTGTTGGAATCGAAATATCGTAGGTAAAATTAAAGTATACCATGATATTTATCAACTGCACCACCCCGCATTTTCCAAACTATTAGTTAGTAAGCTTAAAACTTGACAACTTCTTTAAATGTCGCCGTAACTTTAACTGTAGTGGATATCCGATATACCTAGGAGTTTATCCATGAGTATATATAATTCTGGGCTTTCTCAATTGCTCACATATTTATATATATATATATATATATATATATATATATATATATATATATATATATATATATATATATATATATATATATATATATATATATATAAATATGTGAGCAATTGAGAAAGCCCAGAATTATATATACTCATGGATAAACTCCTAGGTATATCGGATATCCACTACAGTTAAAGTTACGGCGACATTTAAAGAAGTTGTCAAGTTTTAAGCTTACTAACTAATAGTTTGGAAAATGCGGGGTGGTGCAGTTGATAAATATCATGGTATACTTTAATTTTACCTACGATATTTCGATTCCAACAAACCATCATCAACTTCAATTTTATCAATTTTTGTTTTTTTTTTTGGGTCCGTATTTTGAAAAATAATTTGATGATGTTAGCATATAACATACCAACCTGAGAAATTTCAAATTTAATACCATTATGTATAATAAAAATCTATGGGAGAAAAATTTGTTATGACAATGTGTAAAAAATAGAATAGAAATAAAAAGTCCTTTAACCGTTAATTAATTAATTGGAATGCCGTCTACTTAGATAAACTCGTCAGAATTGTGTGGGATCTAAGTCTCATCCGCATCAATGGCGCATTGCAATTAAATTTAACATTTGTTTAGAGCAATTAAATTTTGTCATTTATATGCTTCCTCTCATAACTTAACGTGGTTATTAGGAATCCGACGGAACACTTTTGCATAGAACAAAGAAGTAAAGAATACCATCGAAACTACCAAACCTGCAACGTGGCTGTATCACCTGAAATCCAATAATATTTGCTCGGGTATTTGAATAAATGAGAGAATAATGTTTTAGCTGCGGTTTTGCCCAACAACAGGACAAAGGGCCGATAGCTAAACTTTAGATGCATGGAATACTGAAATCTGTGCCAACGTCTATTTTCAATTTGGCAACACATCCGACCAATACATAAAAACGGTAATCTCATGTGCACATGTTATATATACTTATTATCTGACATAGCAGTCGACAAAATAAATGTATGCCTCGCTAGATCGACTTTACCAGATTACCTATTTTTTATTATTATATATATATAGTTATTAAAGCCTTTTCCTAAGGATTTCTGCTGCGCAATTTGAACTTTATCGCCTATATATTTAATTTTACTGTAATTTCTTATTCTTGCAAATAAACACGAATTCCGCTTTTTTTAAAGGTTTTGGAATTAGGTATTACCGTAGTATAATAATTCCAGTTAATACAAATTGAGCAGTATTTTTAAAAACCGACCAACAACCGCATTATAAACTAGGAAAAATATGTAGGACAGTATGAGTGCAGTGATGTCAGTGAGTCAGAGCAGTATTATCAGTTTCTAGATTTATTTATTTCATTTTAATTAATTACTCCGTATATAAGTTTTCGAGACACTTATCATCTTTGATCCTTTTATCTAGACTTTTCTAATTAGTGGGTCACTCGTATTGTCTTATAAAGTATTTTCCGTTTCAGTATCTACTTTAAAAATTCATGTTTTTGTATTGATTTTATTAAATTTTATGTAATTATATTTCCGCTTTGGGGACGTTCCATTCCTTAGTGCGTACTTAGTAGAGACCCAGAAGCATACCTTTATAAAATATTATCTATATATTTAGATGTTAGCCCGGCATTGAAAATTGTTATGTAATATTAATAAGTGGTTGCTGGTGTAGTATGATGTTATGTGTTTTAATATTTACCCAACATTAAACTAGAGGAATTTTAAAACTTAAAGAAAAAGTTAGAATATCTATTAATCCCCAGAATCGAATTAAACTTGTCTGTATTGAGTTAATTTACAATATCTGACTCGAGATTTGGCTGATGCGGAATGATGACGATAACGAATAAAAAATCCAACAAGTATGCTACTCTTATGTGAAAATATAACAGGCTCAATTCTTTGTTACTCCATTAAAAATGTTTAAAAAAATATTATGAAACAAGTGCGGTAAACAGCATTTTTAATAAACGAGTTTACCAAACCTTA